GGATGATCGCACCACGTTGTGTTGAAATGGTCAAGCACCTTCGAGGCAGTTACACAGTGGTTGCAACTGTCTCTGGAGGTGAAAGCACCAGAAAATAAATTAAGTCATACGAAGCTGTCATCCGTACGCAAGGAAGTAAGCACAAGATGCCGAACACCCTTAGCAGGATGCAGCGCACCCTTCATGCGACTCGCCGAATATCTCACGGCGCTTCGCGCTTGGTGATGTGAGAGCCTGGTCCGGTGAGAACCCGGCGTGCTCCGTCCCGGCTTTGTAGGGATGCGAGGTCAATGGTCTAACGACTACGGCATGCACGACTATGAGTACACCCCCCCCCCCCCCCCCCAAACACCATTTTCTTCAACCACAGTATCAAGGGCTTTGTTCGTGTCGTGTAGGGGGGGGGGCATCCCACCTTTCAAGCTAAAGACACCACAAGGCAAAACGTGCGCACATGCTTGCCTGATAGTCTACCCACGAGAGCCCCTGCATCGCGCTCTCCTCGTCCTCGCCGTCTCGCGCCAAAGGGGCCAAGAGCGCCTCGGTCGCAATAAGCGCCGCGGACGTTACCGACGGGTTGCCATCGTCGAGGCACAGCCTTTCGGTTCGATCCCATCATGAACAACAATTGCCCCCCAAGATCGATCGTTCCCAGGCATCACGACAGCAACAAGAAAACAAGCCGCGCGGGGGCAATAGTAAGAAAAGAAGCGACGAGGGGGTCAGGACAAGGTCGGCCCGACCGACGACATGGTGTCCTCCATCTCGCTCACTCACCTACAGCCAATCCGGTGCCTCGCATTGATTGCTGGGCGGTTGCGATCCCGGGTACCGCTACGCGTCTCCCGGCACACAGCAGTACCCCCTCCCACGCTTCCGCATTCCTGCCTCCAGGTGCAGTGGTACCCCCGTCCCCCCCCGTCCCCCCCCGTCCCTTTCGCGATGTTGTTTTTCGTCCTTTTTATTGTGGCGACAGTCCCCCCATTTTTCGTGGTGAGACGTGCATTGCACTTTTCAGTGTATTTTTTCGTACAACTACAACCATCCAGGGTCACACAGGAGGGGGTAAACACCAGGGCTTTTTTCCTCGTTTTATTTCTTCTCATGCCCCACCTTCCTCCTGCGGTGCGTGCTGGATTTATTTTTATCGCGAGAAGGGTCCAGCCGTCCCTTTCCCTCGTCAACGGTGCTAACGTCGAAGTTTGGTACTCACGAGAGCTTTTTAGCTATATTTCGCCTTCACCCGCAAATTTTGTAAATTTTTCACCCCATGGGGATTCGAACTCACGACCTCTGCGACTAGCGGATTACGAGGATACCACTAGACCACCGGGGCGACCGCGATGTGGGTACCCTCGATTCGTGAGTCGACAGGGGTCCACTCAGCATACAGCAACACCAGACGCTTCGTTTCTTCGAGAGCAAGCAACTGCACCCGAGCCTCCAATCATGTGAAACAGCACAATCACACACGGCGTGCAACGTGGCAACTCCCTGAACTTTGAAAGTACACACCTTATCGCGACCGGCAGCATTTCCGGGAGGCGGCGATGCGGCGGGGTCTGCCCCCGGGCTATGCACGCCGCGCGAACCTTGAGAAGTCCAGCCAGGGCGCGCAGCGCCAGCTGCCTCTGCCCCGACACCGTGCTCCTGGATGCACC